AACTAGTTCCACGCGTTTCTACCGCAAAAAAACTTGCCCTGAGCCAGAGGAAATGGCTCCAGTATGGCACCATAGAAAAGCCACAGAATTTGACAACATAACATCACCGAAAGTGGGATGGGCTATCATGTCCAAACCTTCCACATACCCAGAAAATTCAATCCATAACCAAAATAGTTTAGTTTTATATCGCCGGTGCCACCAGTCAAACAACTTGCCTGTTTATTAGCGGAATAATGTTACATCTTTTTTTTTAATTCAGTGAAAAATGAAAAATCAATCTGCTGGCCAAATAATAAATAATAATAATAATAATAATAATAATAATAATATTACCGTAAGTATAATTATGTTGCAGGTAAAATAAATAAAATATGACACTAGAGTGGCGAAAAGATAATGATACAATCTGCAAAGTTCAGTTTTTAGCATTATTGGGTGATCCTTAAAAGCAGAGCAGTAAAACAAGCGAGCGAGAATAAAGTAACGCACACAGACGGGGGAGACAAAATGTTGTAAAACAGCTTAAAATAGTATGGACTGTATTTGCTGAAAATAAGATAAAATATTAACTTGCACTAAAACACTAAAATTGACATAAATAATGCAACGTTGCATTGTTTTTTATTCTGTGGAAAACAAAAGATTGATCTGCTGGCCAGATGTAATAATAAAGCATAAATATGTCGCAGGTCAAATAAATAAAATATGATACGGACAAAGTTCAATTTTTAGCAGACTTTTATTGTGCAATTCTTTAAAACACAGCGGTAAAACAGCGAGCGAGAATAAACTCACACATACAGATGGGGCAGCCTTTACGGATACAAAAGTGGATACAGGCAATAGAGACAGCGCATCGAGTCATACTTTGAATTTCTTTTTCCGATTCGGCAGCTTATAAAAACTACAAAAATCCAAAACAGATAGAAAAAAATGAAATACAGATTAACCTTTACTTCACTTTCACTTCTGCCTACATAACATTTCTGTTCTGTTCTTTTTCAAAACCAGTGGAAACACGTGCAGGTTCTCAAAAGGCATCAGGCGAGAACCAGCCCAGCACCGGCTCTGTGTTGGTGGAAATGAGGCAATGGGGAGAACACGTAAACCCCATACACATGGGACCCTGGCTGAGACTCAAGTCCAGGTCCCAGAGGTGTGAGGCAACAGTGCTAACCACTGCACCACCATGTCACCCCACAATGATCCAAAAATGAATATTTTTTTATGAGAACCAGTCTATTACATTAAATTTATTGCTTCAGTCTTGCTACGTTGTAAATTTCAGCCATTCACCTGGTCTCTCTGTACCCAGGTCAAAAAAAAAAGAATCAAAAGACATGGGAGGACCAAAAATAAATAAATAAATAGATAAATAAATAAACTTTGTGATCACTCAGTCTTTGAATTAGCATAGCATTGCTTTCTTCTGCATTATTAGCACACCATGAGAAAGACAGGAGAATCACGAATGCATAACAAATACCCTTTGTTCCACAAGTGGTCCTTGAAATGCTCTCAGTGCAGGTTTTCATTCTGCACTGCTCACTTTTGCTGTTGTGTATTTGAAGGGGACAGGGCTGGGTGTGGGGTGCACCCCACTTCAGTGTTTAAAAAGTTCTATATTGATACTGTAATCTTGTTTTCTCTTTCAGCACTGACATGCCTAATGGAAAAGATAGAAAAGATCCAGAGGATAATTTTGATTCATACGTATTCTCTGGAAGGTCTTCATTTTTAATTTTTTTTCCTTTTTCTTCTTTGTAACTAGCAGTTTCAACTTTCATTCCAGGAGGGCTTGCAAGTGTCCACCCCAGGTCTGAAAACTCTGCTGGTAGATAAGTGAACTGCAGCAGCCTGATACATAGCAAAAAAATACAATATAAAATTCCTGGCATACATAATTTACCCCAAAGAATATACTGAGAGAAACTGGGGCTGTGGTAGCACAGCATGTCTGTAAAAAAACATTGCTCACCATGAACAGAGAACGGGATCCATGCAGGTAGCTGCAAATTAGGCTTTTGTGCATTGGAGGAGAAATCAGACCTGTGGCCACATATCAGTGAACAGGTGTAATTCTAAGACTGAATAACCTGAAGAGCCTTGACAGCCAAACAAAGACACTAAGAAAGAATGGGGCAGCTGTACTGTACAGAGTCACAGCAGCATTTCTGTAATATGCTCAGAGCACGGAAAAGCCACTATGATCTCCCAGCATAAAAGAAAATCAAACGGCAAAACAAAAATACATATACAAAACTGCCAGCAAAACAAGTGTCATTGTTTTAGCTACTAAGACAGTTTTGTGTACTTTACGAAATATATCGACGACCTATTAAATACAAATAATTCGTAGCATCAAAATACAGAACAAAATTGCTTATAGGCCTATACAAAGCTTTTTTACTTGAGAGTTTTTGCTATCCTGCTACACCTTGTTTACAAGGCAGACAAAAGAAAATATTGGCTTTGTATTTACTGACAATATTACTGTAGTCTTATGTAATCTTTGGTTTTTGTGATCTCCAAGACAGCACGTCCCACACAAACAGGAGTTAAAGTGGGTCGCCTTGCACATTATATGATCCACGGTGTTTCTGACAGCAATCAAAAGTCGGGAATCGGAATTTGTACAGTTTCCAATCGCAGACAACTTGTAGCTACTAGGGGCAGGCTGATGTTCGCGCAAGTCCTTTGACATTCGCTCCTCCTGCAAGTCCTACAAGTTGGCGTCCTGATGATCTCTGCACCTGACTCAGCCCACCAGCTACAACAATGTCAATGTCAGGCAGCAACACAGGCAAGTCCTTGACTGTTATAACCTCTGTCCCACTATTGACACCATCATGTACCTGGGGCATAAATCACTGGTGTAATGAAGCCCACACAGGCTGCAGGCATGGCTGCGCTTGGCAGCCGCGACATATCGCGGGGAGCAGAGTGCCCCCCATGCGCTCCCTCTGATTTGATTCATCGCTCCTCTGCTACGCTGCAGGATCAGAAGAGGATGAAAGACGGAGATGACCGACTGAAAGGTCAGGAAACAAATTCAATACTCAGAAGCATGACAGGTAGCTTGAAGCAGAACCCCCCTCTCGTAGAAGCACCCTAAACTCGTGTCCCTTGCCCAATCAAGTTAACACACCAGGAAAGTGTCTGATCTCAGGATCAAATGGTGCACTGCATATGAGAAGGGTGCATTGTAAAGACTGTATCTGAATGATGCAGTAATATGGTTTTATTCAGAGTTCTTTCAAGTAAATGTGATGTTTTTTAAGTGACATACACATATACATATAGGGCTAAAATGACACAATAAAAGATGTATTGAATATTTTAAACTTCACACGAGAGCATAATATGTCTAAGCTTTACCTTCGTTTTAAATGGCTGACTTTTAATGTACATTGAATATTTGCAGAGTATATGGTCTCATCCTTGCCCCATTTTTTCGAGTAATATTATTTCCTAGTATCTAGCATTGATTTATAAATCAATGAAAAGAACATAAAAGGTATAATGCTTACTCCTCAAAACAGATAAAATCTGGCCAGTTCTGTATTACAAAATATAACAACGAGATATCATAAAGCAGAATTTTACAGTAAAAAGCAAGTCAAGCTGAAATGAGACATTTTAGAATATGCCCAGCTTTAAAATGTCAACATTTGACTGAACGAGACAGCTATTTTAAGAAAAACTCAACTGGTAAAAGTTACACTAATTGTATATAGCACTATAATTAGTAAGTAAAATTCAGATCTTCACATACAACAAATGAACTGCAATAACAAATGAGCCAAACATGCAAGTCATAGGGCAAATGCCTTACCGTGTTAAGTTCAGCATGGAAGGTCTTAACCCACCAGATTTGTCTTGTCACTGCCCTAATTTTACCTGAACTCTTTCAACAGGTGTGTGTGAGACACACACAGACACACACTAATATTTATATCCCCACAAGGTATATTTCAATCTTATAATCAAGGTCACCCTAATTTATTTCATGCCTCGATAACATTAACCCAAATCCAGCCAACAGGTCCCTTCTTCCTGTAATCTCTGTACTTACAAATTACACACGTAGACGTACATGTTCCGTTTCTCTAATCCTCTGGAGTTGGTGATCACCTCCGCAAACGTCCCCGTCCTTCCGACGGAATACAATAGGCGGCCAGGCGGATACAATCACCATTGCAACATAATCGCAACTCATCGTTCATCATCTACTCTGGATTCTGCTAGAAAAAGCACTGCGCCAAAACAAATGAATTCATTAAGGTTTTTTTGGCATGGAAAGGTCCGGAACACGAGCAAGAAAACGGTGTTTGATATTATGAAACTGACACCTAAAACCACGTAATTATCTGCGCACCTGAAAGGTTCAAGTCGAACCCACATTTACTTGTGTTGTGTCTACATTTTTAGACGATGTTTATATTAATTTCGCTATTATACGTCACTTTCATGTAAAAAACATGCACATTGCTCGCTACTTAAAAATGACATTAGGAGCATTGCTGTCCACTTATGTAATATCTGGCGTAACTGTTATTTGCGTTTTAACTGTCAAACAATATATTTCATAAATTATTTCTAATGAAACATATGATAAATGCAGCCTACCAAGGAAAACTACATCGTTATCTTAAAAATTTTATCAACAAATTAATGCTTATAGACATGGATTTTAAATTAATTAACGCAGCCAGCGTGATCATTGTCATTAGCAGTCTCCAATCTAGAAGAAAAAAAAAATCATAAATTTACTAAAATGTTCCTTTCAGTTAGACAAGCAGTTATCTAAAGTCACCTTTTTAGTGAACAGCTTTGGTTCAAGTGTGTTATTAATAATATTAAACGATTGACGAATGGCTTTATTATGTTAATTGAATTTTAAAATGTCGTGTTGTGAACTATTTCAGTTTAATGGGATATTTAAAATGAATTATACTGCAGCCTTGGGTAATATAACTGTAAATCACAAAACTTACCAGGATGACATTCGGCCCTGAGGAGCACGAAGGATGAGAAAATTAAAGACGAGATCCACCAACACGATTGCAGTAGTCTCCGCATGTCACAATACTCATCGAGAGTGAAAGGCAACAGCTGACAAAGTGTACAAAATTACTAGGTAAAGGAAATTTAAAAAATCAAAACAAGTAAACACAGCCGCTGTGTCAGTGTAATGAACTTTGTTACAAGCTTCGGTTTTGTTAAATATTTTAAATATCACCGGCAGATGAACAAGTTTTCTTCTCAAAATCTCCCTAATGCAAGCAGTTCCTTCAAATTCGGAGATTAAATATGTCAGGCACAATCGTGCATGAAGCCCTTTCAGTTCCTGTAGCGGGGATGTGGAGGACAGTTCTCTGGTTAGCTGTGTTCGTCTATGCAAGACGGAGATGCAGCGCTTCTCGCAATAACAGAAAGGGAATTGTTAGAGCTGCGCTGGAAGCTTCCCATTCTTCCATCCAGGAAGTAACTAACATGTGAGCCGGGGTCTGGCAGCGACTTTAAAAAACCTAGATGAAGGGGAGGGGAGGGGATGGAGAATCGGAGCGCATCCCCAGGATCCTAGCGCCGAAGAATGATAGTGGCCGCACGCTGCTGCGTGTAGACGCGCTGCATTTACTTTTTACAGCCATGTGGAGAATATATAACTGAAATGCATTATGTATTAATAGCTATAAATAACAATTATAACTAGGCATAAGGTTTGGGGAGCGAAGCATGAAACCTAGAATGATCCCGAAGCTGTAAAAATATATTTCTAGATGATTTATTCAATAAGAATTTACCACAGTGGCTTTGATACCGAATTTGTTTCTGGAATTTCTATTTCGGTTACATTATGACACATAATACCTGTAGGGTAAATGTGGTAATATGGTATATGCGGGTTCATTTTACTTATGCAGTCGATCACTCATTCATTCAGTCCTCCATTCATTCTGTCAGTCAATATCAGTTTATTTCACCCATTCATTCAGTCTTTGTAGTTTTGGCAGTAAACATGATGTACTTTAGAAACTGATATGAAAGATAAATTCTATCACATTTCACTGTAAGAAGCTATTCGGTGCAGAAAATCTTGTCAAGAATATTTTATGTTCAGTCAAAATAATACTAGGCCTATACAGATATATAAACAGCTAAAAATCTGCATTACTTGTACTCCTGCTTGGCTGAGCACATGACTGTTCATAACATGACCACATAAGTAGCTAAATTTGTCTTTGACCTATGGAGACTTTTATGAAACTACAAAATACTTGGGAACACGCATAGCTTCAGTTTAATAGGACACTGTTGAAAATGTGTGATTTAACATTTACACCTACAACTACAAATCTACGCCATACACCTAAATGTGACAAATGTGACAAAAAAGTGATTAAAAATAAAATGAGAAAAGAATTATTGTCAGCCCTGTGTTGGCCTTCATTAGCTTGGCAGGTTCTGAAACACCATTTGGCTCAAAACTTTTGATATTGATGTGAAAATGTGTTGTTTTTTTCCCCCAGAATTCTTTTCATTACAACTAAGAAACGCAAGGTCTTTTGAAGGTATTCATTCCCTTACTTAATAAAAAAAACTACGCTATTTTCTAAGGACATGCTATTAATCAAATTAACTTGTGAGAAATGCAGTTTGTTTTTGACTGCTTATATCTATGCATTTGGGAAACAAAACTGGCTTCCGGTGTACAGTAGTAGTAATTCAGTCTTTGGTATTTGAACCTGTGTTTGTTTGGTCATAAAACCAGAGCCTTTAACAAGCACCACCATCTGCCAGCCCACTACACCACCTGTTATCAGGTTTTCTTGACTCACAGAACTCCAGAACTGTGAAATGTCCAGGTTCTTGTTTGTAGGGTGCCAAATGCAACGGAAAAACACTTTCGTTTTTGCGGGTGATTTTTTTTTCTCCCTGGATTTAGACAAAATATCACATTTTATCTCACATTTCATAAGAAATTATGGGACTTGTTCTATATCTATTTATACCAAGAACCCTACCATAGAATTTTATTTTCTTAACTTTTAAAGTTACCTGGAAAAGTAAATGTAAATACTTCTTTGTCAGTAAATCATCTCATTCCAAAAACTTTCCATTTGTGAATAATCCAACAGGCATACATTGCTACACCGTAACTTTTTAGGAATTTTTATTTCTTATATATATATATATATATATATATATATATATATATATCCATCTATCCATACATCTCCCAGCCTCATCCATTTCAGCGTCACAAGAAGCCTGCAGGTTACCCAAGCGACAATATAGGGTGCAAGTAATGGAGACCCACAGAATATTAGGGGCGCATATGTTGAAGGCGAAGGGGCAGGATTAAAATCAACAACCAAGTATTACGGAGCAATAGCGCTACAGTGCTTCTGAGCCCCCCTCATATTTAAAAAATTAATATACAAATCTAATTTATGAACTTCTGCTCATTTTAATTATGAATGCTAGTTATTTGTGGTTTAGGAAGGTAAAGCATGTCTTTTTTTTACATAATAACAGTCCTACACCAGCACTTGGTCCTAAACACATAAAATAACACACCAATCTGGCCAGAATTATTTAATGGTTTTCCTGCCTCTCACTATGCATCCTTGAATCTGCAAAAAAATACTGCTAGTACCATTTTATATTTATAAAATATGGCATTAATATAAAGTTGTCCTTTGACCTGTCATGCTAAATGAATACAGTACACTAGGTTTTTTATTTTACATGTCCTGGTATTGCATCATTAGTCTATCATCTGTTCAATGGTGAGTCAATGTCATTTCATCAATGGAAATTCAGCTGAATATGTGACTTATGAAAAATTCATTACAGCATGTTCAACAACATATTTCTATCCACAATGCATCCAACTTCTATAAATGCAGCTGAAATTTTTTGGTTCTTTCATACAATTTGTTGTCAGATTATTTATTATATAAAATGGTTAATAGTGTGTTAGACTTCACAGAGAGGGTTCTTTGAGAAAAAAAAGTGTGATGAAGAATATAGTTTAGTTAAATAACTTTATGAGGAATTAGCATGTGTGCCATCAAATGCTTGAGTATACAAACTTACAACCCATGGGGTCTATTCTCCCATCAGGAGCTTAAGTCAAAAAAGCACTCAAAAAGCTAAAAAGTCAAAATTCCAATAAATAAAATCGCAATTTCGAGAAATAAAGCCACAGTTATGAAAACGAGTCACAGATAAGCAATATTTTTTTCATGTAGTGGAAACAAACTTCCATACAATTTACATACATGTATCAATACATATTTTTTATTCTGCTGAATCCCCTGAATGGAAATTGAAGAAACAATTAATAGTTATATAACAGGATGTTTTGAGGGAAAAAAATTGATAGATCTTCTTGGTCAGATTGTTTTATTTCACAAAGTGTCATATGAAACATACGTCAATAGCATCATCTGCACCAGCCTGCACTCATGAATATCATGTATGTGTTAGTTCAAACAAACGTAGACGGTCGACTCTGGCATTACTTGAATGTGTTTCAGACATTTTATTACATACACCAATCAGCCAGAGCATTAAAACCACTGACAGGTGATGTGAATAACATTGATTATCTCGTTACAATGGCACCTGTCACAGGTGCCATTATATATTAGGCAAGTGAACAGTCAGTTCTGAAAGTTAATGTATTGGAAGCAGGAAAAATGGGGAAGTGTAAGAATCAGAGCTCCTTTGACTAGGGCCAAATTGTGATAGACGACTGCATCAGGGCATCTCCAAAACAGTAGATTTTAAGGGGTGTTCACAGTATGCAGAGGCCAGTACCTATCAAAGGTGGTCCAAAAAATGACCACTGATGCGCGTGTGGAGCAAAGGCTAACTAGTCTGGTCCAGTCCCACAGGAGAGCTGTCATAGCAGAAATGGCTGAAATTACTGAAAAAAGTTAACGCTGTCTATGACGTAAATGTCCATTCTAACAGGGTCCATGCCAGACTCACAAACTGCTGAAAGGTTAATGCTGGCTATGATACAAAGGTGTCAGAACACACATACAGTCATGTGAGAAAATTAGGACACCCTATGAAAGCCTGTATATTTTAAAATATATTTGGACATATGGATATTTAATATCAATTTTAATGATACTGAGCGATCCAAATAATATAACTAAACAATTAAAAAATAAGAAAAGCCTTTGTAAAACTTTCTGTGAAATGTAATTTAAAAAGAATGCAATTTCTGGTGAGGAATAAATTAGGACACCCCCACATATTATCCCACTTAAAATGGTTAAAATCACACACAGGCGTATCACGTGCTCATGATCAGTACATAGTTACCCAGCATTTTAAAGGAGCCTTGCCCTATTTAAACCTCAGATTTAGTTTGGTGTGCTCCTGACTGTTCAAGTGTTGAAGTGAGCACCATGGTGAGATCTAAAGAGCTGTGGCCACTTATGAGTCTGGTAAGGGATTTAAAAAGATCTCAAAAGAATTTGACATCAGCCATTCCACCATCCGGAAAATTGTTTACAAGTGGAGGACATTCAAAACAACTGCCACCCTGCCCAGGTCTGGCCATTCAAGCAAATTCACCCCCAGAGCAGACCGCAAGATGCTCAAAGAAGTCATCAAAAATCCTAAAATGTCATCCCGGGAACTACAGCAGGCTACTGTCGATGTGAAAGTGCATGACTCTACTATCAGAAAGAGACTACACAAGTTTCACTTTCATGGGAGGTGTGCAAGAAGGAAACCTTTGCTCTCTAAGAGAAACATTAAGGCCAGACTGAAGTTTGCCAGAGCGAACGTAGACAAAGACCATGACTTCTGGAATAATGTTCTTTGGACAGATGAGTCTAAAATTGAATTATTTTGGACACCAGAAGGACAGAAGGAATCCATCATGAATTCTACTGTGTATCAGAGGGTGCTTGAAGAACATGTGACACCATCTGTAAAAAAAAATTAAAGCTGAAGCAGAACTGGACACTGCAACATGACAATGACCCAAACATACCAGCAAATTCACCAAGGACTTGCTAAAAACTAAGAAGTGGAGAGTCCTGGAATGGCCAAGTCAGAGCCCTGATCTTAATCCCATTGAGATGCTGTGGGGTGACTTGAAACGGGCTGTACAGTACATGCAAGAAACCCCTCAAACATCTCACAGCTGAAATAATTCTGCATTGAGGAGTTGGGCAAACTTTCTTATGATCGATGTCAGAGACTGGTAAAAGGGTACAAAAGGCGTCTCACTGAAGTTATATCAGCCAAAGGGGGCAACACTAGTTATTAGGGGGTAGGGTGTCCTAACTTTTTCCTCCATTAAAATACACATTTTTGTTCATAACTTTTTTTTTAAGGGGAAAAAAATTAATAATAATAATAATAATTTTTGTTTAATTGCAATTAAGTCACTTTCTTTTCCAGAAATAAATAAAAACATGATTGGACATTGATATGTGAACATTTCTTA